AAAAAAAAAAAAAAAAAAAAATCACTTGAGCTATTTTTTATTTGCATGAGCAGGAAGAATTCTGGGGTAGGCTTAATTCTATGCTAACCTAATCGGTCCTCTCAGCAATCCTAAAAAGAAGACATTACCATCCCATTTTTGCTGTGAGCAAACAGCAGGTAGAGGCTGTTTCTACCTGTCTTGTGCTGCTGCTTTTGCTCCACAGAAAACTGCGGAGTGAAACTCACCACCATGTTCAGAAGGATGAGTGTCCAGAGTGGCCACGCCGTAGCTAAACCTGGGTTTCTCAGCTTGCTCGTCCCAGAGACTGAGTCTCCTGAAGTTGGCTCAGGAAGTCTGAGTCTCTGAAGAGTCAAGTGTAAACTGTGGGCCTGTGAGACATGTTCAGTTTCTGTTGTGTGCAACTCATCTGGGGCATGTGATTCTTCATTCTGAGTCCAGCCCTGCGCTGGCTGCCTTTTCTGCCTTACTAAGTTCCAGAGCCTCTGTGCATCAGATGCTCTGCTGGCCACGGAGGGCAGCTGTGATCTGGCAGAGGTGGCTTCCTGGCCATATTCTACCAACTGCCCATCCTGGTAGGTCACAACCCTTCGATCAGGCACATAGAGAGCTGGAAAGGAGCATAAGGGCCTTAAAACGGAGAAACTGAGATCCTTGCATTGCTAATATCACATTTAAGACAAGCAGCTCTATTCCAGAGTGATGGCAGTTTGCCTTTTTGCCTATTGATGGAAAATTCCATCAGAACATCTCTGTGTCATCCTCATTTGGGGATGCTCTTGAGGGCAGGAAAGAGCACATCTGATCAACGGAAGAACAGCAGGAGGGCCCATTTGTCTTCGAACTTCAGAAGTGAGGAGGCGTTTATGTCTCAGCTGGGCATGTTTAGGTTTCCACGACGTGGATGGGTTAGTGATGCTGTGCTTTCTCCCTTTGTTGCAGCTGGTCCTTTGGGGTGTTAATGTGGGAGATCTTCACTTTAGGGGGCTCCCCCTACCCAGGGATTCCTGTGGAGGAACTGTTTAAGCTGCTGAAGGAAGGACACAGGATGGATAAACCAGCGAACTGCACCAACGAACTGTAAGGACTGTTGTCTTTCCTGCCGGTGCCACGGTGGACTTGCCACACCAGTAACACCCCTCCTGCTATATCTCATTTCTGAAGGCCCCTGGTTTTCTAAACATACTCTAAGAAGAACGGCTGAAGCTCTCTGGGCTCAATCCAGAACTGAGATAGATAGTGACACTGACAACCATTACGTGTCTGAGAGAGAGAACGTTATTCTGAGTATGGAGAGGGCTTTGGATCTCAGGGTGCCTGGCTGCCTGGCCGAGGGCCCCCGACTTTGCAGAGCCAGTGGGAGTGGTCTTCTGGGCCACTGTGCTGCATGTCCTGCAGTCTCCCCGTGGAGTGACAGGAAGACCCATGGGTCAGGAAACAAGCTAGAAAGCCACGGGGCCACCCTGCAGGGTATAGAATTAAGGGTGCATCATAGCCTTTCCCCCTTGGTTGTGCCTGGCCCCTGTCTGGTCCTGTCGTGGCGAGTGGAGAATGGGTGTTTCCGGAACTTCTCGAACCATTGAAAATTGCCATTACAGATTGACGCCAGCCACGTTTCCTCAGAGTGAAGGAACCCGTGTCTGGTTACCGAGGCTTCACTTATGTTTTAGTGCAGAGAATTAAAAATGTGTCCAGGTGCCCTCCTTAGAGCACCAGATCTCCTATAAAACCCTGAGCTGGTTTCTAGCAAAACCTACCTCACACTTTCAGTGGAGTTATGTTGTGTTTGTGACATGTGCCTGGTGCAATAGAATCAGTGCTTTGAAAGGAGTCTCTCTGCCGCCTGCCTCAGCCCCTCCCCCGCCCCCCAGGATTAACTAAGAAGAGTGATTGTCCCAGAGACTGCGGTCTATTGTGTATCATTTCATGGGGATTTTATATCAGTAATCCCATGAGTGCTTTTCGGTGTACAGTGGATGTCTGATGAATGGCCACATTTTATAGCATATTATATAAAGGCATTTATTGTGCTCTTTGTCATTTCTATTGCTTTTTTTTTTGACACAGGGGTTCTGTCAAAACCCATGATCAAGATAAGACCTGGGAAGCTAGGCCTGTCGAAGAGTTGATCAGGAAGTTGGTGCTAGTGGTGGCAGATTAATTCATAAAAAAATCTTAAAGCTGTAGTTTGTAAATTTTGTTGTATCATTTTTTTAAACTCAGGAAGCTTTGTCAAGCTTTTAAGTCCCAAAAGTGTTGGGCAGATAAATGGTAGAGCTGCTTTGGTGCAGGGGAGGGAAGACTGAAGACCAATCCACGGAAATATGTGTTTCCTCTGAAGCATCTTTAGGGAGTGATGCCATTGTGAGATGTGACTGTGGCCCAGGGATACCAGGGAAAACACATAGATGCGTTTCTCTTGATGGCTTAGATGCCTTCCTAACACGTCTTGGTTTAAGTGCTGTCTTTGTAAGTCACAGTGCCTTTCAGAGGAACTGGCAGGGAACCTTTTGGGAAAATTATTCATGACCTCCTAATCTAGTGGCGTGGACAATTCTAATGCATTTTCCTAATTTACAACACATCTCCATATTGCCTATTGAAACTGACTGCAACCACGTACCTTGTGCATATGAAATTAATTCAAGGAAATCCATTTTTCCCAGGTACATGATGATGAGGGACTGTTGGCATGCAGCGCCCTCCCAGAGACCAACGTTCAAGCAGTTGGTGGAAGACTTGGATCGAATTCTCACTCTCACAACCAATGAGGTAAGAACCTCCTTCCAGAAGCCTCTTGTCCATGGTTGGCTCGTGAGACGCGTGTAGCATTTAACACACACACTCCCCTGTTGGCTGTTGGTTGGAGTCTGTAATCTTGTTTAGTATTTTCCTATAGCAGTCAAGACAGTTCAACTGTGTGTTCCTCTCAAATCATGATTTTTTCTCAGAACTTCAATATGTGAGTTCTGACTCAGAAACCAAAGATATAGGGACATACCCACAGCCATCCTCAGTGTAGCTGGTGGTGGAGCAGTCCCGTGTGTGCGTGGGAGAGTGGGAATGAGAAAGCAGTAGTCAGTGCAGCGTTTTGGTGTGCACGGGAAGGAGCTCGGTTCCTGTGAAAGTTTGAGTCTGTGCCCTGGTTATTAGTGGGTGAACTGACAATGTTTGTCATCATTTGCTTGGTGGAATACAACAAAGTTTTGTAACGCCAGCTTCTGTTACCACAATACTATCCTATGTGATCCTGTCGAGTAATGGTATGTGCCTTGCAGCCTCTTTCTAGGTGTATGAAAACATACACGGTTTTCTACAATGGGCAACTTACATGATTTTTACATAAAAACATGCTTTTGTTAAAATATTTATTTTCTCTAAAATATTTATGATCTCGGTGGCTCACGTCTGTAATCCCAGCACTTTGGGAGGCCGAGGCAGGTGGATCATGAGGTCAGGAGTTCAAGAGCAGCCTGGCCAATATGCCAAAATCCTGTCTCTACTAAAATACAAAAATTAGCTGGGTGTGGTGGTGTGTGCCTGTAATCCCAGCTACTCAGGAGGCTGAGGTAGGGGAATCGCTTGAACCTAGGAGCAAAGGTTGCAGTGAGCTGAGATCGTGCCACTGCACTCCAGCTTGGGAGACAGAGCAAGACTCCATTTCAAAAAAAAAAAAAAAAAAAAAGTTATCTTTGCCAACAAAAAAAACACTCTTCTGTCACTCATTGTCCAAATTTAGTCATGTTGGTGGCTGCTTGAATATGCAGATAGAGTGCCTTTTATAATTATGGAAAACATATGCTCTGAGCAGGAAAGATGATAAACCCATCAAGTCTAGTCAAATCCCAAGACAGAAATCGTTAATGGATATATTTTGAGGTATTTAATGAGGATGCACAATAGTGTTCTTTTACACAGGACACGAACTCCAAACATGCAATTGTCTCAACAAGACAAAAGTTAAGGTCCCCCAAATATTTTACAAGGAAAATAATACACTTAATTTCTGATTTAGAAAATAGTTTTAGAGTGATTTTTAAAAAAATAATAATCACATGTAGTGATATGAAGTCTTAGCAGCTTTATCTTGTGTGTCTGACTGTGGCCTGTGCCGGATAAAGGAAGAGATTGGATTTAAATGAATACAGCTGACCTTCAGAAGTTGAAAGGAAAGGAACAGTTCAAGGGGGAAGGAAACCAACTTTCTTCTTCTGCCAAAATTGTTGTTTCTAGCATAAGTTCCTTTAACTGGAGACTTGGAATCTACTGATATTCCTACTTTTTTCCTATCAGATCTGAACATAAGTTTATGGTTTTATTTAGAAAGTGGGAAAAGTTGGCCGGTCACAGTGGCTCAAGCCTGTAGTCCCAGCACTTTGGGAGGCCGAGTAGGGTGGATCACGAGGTCAGAAGTTTGAGACCAGCCTGACCAACATGGTGAAACCCCGTATCTACTAAAGATACAAAAAATTATCCGGGCATGGTGGCACACTCCTGTAATCCCAGCTACTCAAGAGGCAGAGGCAGGAGAATTGCTTGAAGCTGGGAGGCAGAAGTTGCATTAAGCCAAGATTGCACCGCTGCACTCCAGCCTGGGCAATAGGGTGAGACTCTGTCTCAAGAAAAAAAAAAAAAAAAAAAAGCCTAGGAAAAGCACCAAAGTTCTATTTTAATGATCCCATGTCTATGCTCAATGTGATTTATTTATATATTTACATGTAGAGTGGGTCCATTCATCCCGAAGTTTGTATTTAGTACCCCAAAATAAAAAAGCAGACTGCCATATTGTCTGACGGATATAAAAATCGAAGTTTCTTTCCTTGTGAAAATCATTACCATATGCTCAAGAAAAATGGTTCCATTTAGGACAAAATTTCATTTTTATCATTGTAAGCAAAAAGTTCTCTTTTGATGTGGCGGGCGTGTTTGTTTCCAGTTGTGTGGTTAATGCTGATGTTGTTGGAACTGACACATCCCCCTTCTGGGATGGGGACTCTTTCTCTTGCCAACCCTGGTGATGAATTATAGTGGGGTGTGTGTGTGTGTGTGTGTGTGTGTGTCTTTAAAAATGTCTAGTTGCCAACATTCCATGGGCTCTTTTCTGATAACACTGAGGCTGTTTGTGCTGTGGTCTGCACTTTTTACCCCCTCTCAGCAAAACCACGTCATAGAATAGTCGTTGGCTTCTGGATGTGTGAGCAGAACTGCCCCACTGTGCCAGCCCAGTGGAGGCAGAGAGACCTACAAGCTCCCAGTTTAGAAAGCTTTTCAGAGCTTCAGAACAGGGGTCGACAACTGCTTTCTGTAAAGGGCCAGAGAGTAAATATTTTCAGCTTCACGTGCCCTATGCTCTCTGTCACAACTTGGTCACCGTAGCCCCAAAGTAGCCACAGACAATATGTAAATAGATGTGTGTCTGTGTTCTAGTAACATGTTATGGATCCTGAAATTGGAATTTTATATAATTGTATATAAATTTTATGTCCTTTTATTTTTATTAATTAATTAATTTATTTTTGAGACAGAGTTTCACTCTTGTTGCCCAGGCTAGAGTGCAATGGTGCGATCTTGGCTCACTGCAGCCTCCATTTCCTGGGTTCAAGCAGTTCTCCTGCCTGGCACTATGGGCATGCACCACCATGTCTGGCTAATTTTGTATTTTTAGTAGAGACGAGGTTTCTTCATATTGGTCAGGCTGGTCTTGAACTCCCGATCTCAGGTGATCCACCCGCCTCTGCATCCCCAAGTGCTGGGATTACAGGTGTGAGCCACCACATCTGGCAAATTTTATGTCCTTTTAATGCTGCAAGATATTTTTCGTCTTTTGTTTTTTTTTTTTAAACCACTTACCAATGTTAAAAACCATCTTTAGCTCTCGGGCCATACAAAACAGTCCATGAGCACCCAGGTGGGAGGAAGCGTCACCCTGGGGTGGTCCAGGAGGCTCTTTGCAGCATCACACCGGATGCCTCAGGGAGCAGAGGACACTTTCTGAATCTCAAACCTTCAAAACTTTTTGAAATTTAACTTATATTTTCCTGAAGTTTCCTTTAACAATGCATATTGGATTTAACATACATGAGTATATCCAAGCCTTTTTCGAACCTGTTTCAACTCGGAGAGCTTCTGAGAGTAATGAATTACATCTGTTAAATTACCCGCTGAATGAAGAAGTATTCCCCTTCAATTATCCCAGAAACTACAATAGTAAAATGTAATGCAGAAAATAAATATTCATGGTCTCAACTACTTAAAGGAGGCCTGGGGACCCACAGCACGTTACCCGTTCTCATTCTGCTGGGGCTCACATTTGAAACCCAGGCTTCAGTGAGGAGGAGGTGGAGACTCAGAGGGTCATTTAGGTCCATGTGAAGTCGAGTCACCTGCCCAGCACCTATAGCTCAACTAGGATTTATTGTTCTCTACCTGTCAATAGTTGATTTATGATGGGTTCCAAGAGAAAAGCTAAGGGCAGCTTGGAGTACATTAGACGCGGGTCTCGGGGAGGTCTTCGTGGAAGTCAGGTGGGCTGGGTCTCTGTTCACCCTGTTGGGGTCTCCTGTCCTGTCCTGCGTTCAGTACCCACATCTCAAGAGCTTGTGTTTGAAATAAAACTCTTCTCTTCCCTTCTTTCAGGAATACTTGGACCTCAGTCAGCCTCTCGAACCGTATTCACCTTGTTATCCTGACCCAAGATGAAATAAAACGTCTCTCTTCCCTTCTTTCAGGAATACTTGGACCTCAGTCAGCCTCTCGAACAGTATTCACCTAGTTACCCTGACACAAGAAGTTCTTGTTCTTCAGGAGATGATTCTGTTTTTTCTCCAGACCCCATGCCTTATGAACCATGCCTTCCTCAGTATCCACACATCAACGGCAGTGTTAAAACATGAATGACTGTGTCTGCCTGTCCCCAAACAGGACGGCACCGGGAACCGAGTTACCCTGAGCAGGGAGACCGTGCCTCCCAGAGCTGGTTCTCTCCGCTTGTATATATGGATCAGAGGAGTAAATAATTGGAATCAGCCTATATGTAAAGATTTATACAGTTGAAAACTTTTAATCTTCACTAGGAGGAGAAGAAGGTTTCTGGAGCAATGGACTGCCACACGCCACCACGTAACCCCTCTCACCTGCCACGGGTACTGGCTGTGGACCAGTCGGACTCAAGGTGGACGTGCGTGCGTTCTGCCTTCCTTGTTAATTTTGTAATAATTGGAGAAGATTTATGTCAGCACACACTTACAGAGCACAAATGCAGTATATAGGTGCTGGATGTATGTAAATATATTCAAATTATGTATAAATATATATTATATATTTACAAGGAATTATTTTTTGTATTGATTTTAAATGGATGTCCCAATGCACCTAGAAAATTGGTCTCTGTTTTTTTAATAGCTATTTGCTAAATGCTGTTCTTACACAGAATTTCTTAATTTTCACCAAGCAGAGGTGGAAAAATACTTTTGCTTTCAGGGAAAATGGTATAACATTAATTTATTAATGAATTGGTAATATACAAAACAATTAATCATTTATAGTTTTTTTTTGTAATTTAAGTGGCATTTCTATGCAGGCAGCACAGCAGACTAGTTAATCTATTGCTTGGACTTAACTAGTTATCAGATCCTTTGAAAAGAGAAATATTTACAATATATGACTAATTTGGGGAAAATGAAGTTTTGATTTATTTGTGTTTAAACGCTGCTGTCAGACGATTGTCCTTAGACCTCCTAAATGCCCCATATTAAAAGAACCTATTCATAGGAAGGTGTTTCATTTTGGCGTACAGCCCTGTAATTACGTCAACGCAACATCTAACTGGACTTCCCTAGACAAACGGTACCAGAGTCCTCTAAAAGATGTCTTAATCCATTCCTTGAGGACAGACCTCAGTTGAGATGATAGCAGAATGTGCTTCTCTCTGGCAGCTGGCCTTCTGCTTCTGAGTTGCACATTAATCAGATTAGCCTGTATTCTCTTCAGTGAATTTTGATAATGGCTTCCAGACTCTGGCGCTGGAGACGCCTGCTAGGATCTTCAAGTCCCATCATAGAAAATTGAAACACAGAGTTGTTCTGCTGATAGTTTTGGGGAAATGTCTGTCTTTTTAAGGGATTGCTTTCATCTAATTCTGGCAGGACCTCACCAAAAGATCCAACCTCATACCTACATCAGACAAAATATTGCCATTGTTCATTCTGTACTAAAGTATTGTGTTTTGCTTTGAAACACCCACTCACTTTGCAGTAGCCAGGCAAGATGAATGCAGATTACACTGATCTTATGTGTTACAAAATTGGAGAAAGTATTTAATAAAACCTGTTAATTTTTATACTGACAATAAAAATGTTTCTACAAGATATTAATGTTAACAAGACAAAATAAATGTCACGCAACTTATTTTTTTAATACTCGTGTCTTACCACATGGTTTCCTGTGCTTGGAGATGGTGACTGGGTGCTGGTCTGAATTGAGGAGGGGCAGGGCTGCCGAGAGTCTTCCGTGCTACACACGGGGGTGACTTCCAGAAGGGCTGGCTGAGACCAGCAGTACCTGTGATAGGTTGAGGTTGAGCCAGTGGAAAATCAGAATCGGCTGGTTGCAGCCCTGGCTCAATGGCTTACCGGCGCCTCGATGGAATCATCGTTCCTTTCTGATCCCTACCCGTTCCCCAGAGGACCCAGCGAAGAGCCACATGGTAGAGAGCTTTACAAACCAAGAGGTGCCCTAAGGATGACAGGTACGGAGTAGGGAAGATGTTGAGAACATCTGAACCCTGGGGACTTTGAAACTTTTAGGCTGTTTTCTTCACGATGTATGGAGAGAAGGATTTGCTTCAAATTTTCCAAAAGAAAACTTGGACAAATTTTTGAGTAATTATTTATTTTCATACCACCAACGACCTGAAGAGGGAAATGGAGTTTTGCCTGTCAGTTAACAAATGCAAGTCTATGACTCTTAAGGCTCTGTTATATCTGCTTGCCAGCCTCATCAACACCAGGAAAGGGGGCTGAAAACACGCCAACTTCTCCTGCACTTCAGCCAGGCTCTTAGACCCTTATAGGGCCATTGGTAACGAGTGCTGTCTTTGGGGTCTTCTCTGTGTTTGCTCTACCATTCATGGTGGAGCAAGGTGTCACCATGCATCAGGGGAGTGGCCTAGGTTCCTGCTTCTGCACTTCCCAAACTTCTGTCCTTCTGTTTCTTACGGGATATCAGGGTTCTGATCCCACCAAAGGAATGTGATTTTAAAAATAAGGTACATGAAAGCCACCTAAGGAAAGTGTCACCTGTTAGACACGAGTGTACAGTGTGATGTTCTGCAGCCCTAGGGACATTTCCACTGGTGCAATGTCCTTGGCGAGGGTGAGGATTGGACTTGCTGGTACCACAGGTGTATTCAAAGCAAGGACCAGGGTCTACGCGGGTTCTTCTGTGCAGCTGTCTGGTGCATATGCTGTACTTGAGACACTGAAGGGGCAGTTTATAGCCTTGACAGTGTAGATGATAATGGCAGTAAGAACTGCTGTACTTCTTGCCCATTTCATGGAGCCAGGTGGGCAAGAATCCTGAATGGTCTTTTGGCCATTTGATTTTAGAATTATTTTGAAAGAGACACTTCTCATGAAGGGCAAGAAGGCAATATGGTCCATGGGAATGACAGCTAATATAGTATTTTCCTTTTTTCTTTTTTCCTTTAGACCTGCCCCAAATGAGTGTACACAGGCAGGAATTTGATAAGAATCCTGGAGCTTATGGCTCTCCTCCCCCAAGACCTAAGGAGAGCGACGGGAATTAGTTGAAACCATGTGTGATTGTCACCTAATCATGAGATTAGTTCACTTGTGAAGAACCAAAGGACTGCAGGCATCTTGGATGGGTAGTGCCTGGCCTGCTGTTCCAACTGGGAAGGGCATATCCAAGAGGCTGCCTCAAAATGTCTAGCTGATGGTGGCCTCTGGCAGGATGGGGAGGCAGAGAAAGAGGGTGGAAGAGTAGCACCTTCGTGAGGGTTCTGTGCATTCCCAGGAGACGAGGTACCCCACATCCACCACACAACCTCTCCATGGCTCCTCAGGGAGCTTCTCTACATCTGATCTTGTGGGAAGTTCCTTAACCCCACACATAGGAACACAGGAAATTAAAACATGCATTTACAGTAAAATATCTGATCAACTTGAGCTGTTATGAATTGAGGACTCCACCTCCAGTACTGAAAACAAGAAATGGGGCTGCTACCTTGTACTTCATCCTTGAAGCTTGCTTGTAGGGCCGGGTCCAGAGGGCTCAGCTAGGACCCAGGAGGAAGCTGAGGCTCAGCTCAAGGTTCCTCAGGGTCACATGGCTGGGAAATGGTCTAAGGAACAAGACTGCGGCCTTGCTCAGTTCAGGAGAAAGACAATGGACCATGGGCTTGGACCGAATGGGCTGGGTTTGTTTCTTACAGCTGGGTGATGGTGAGCAAATCCCAGCTTCTCTCTGGATGTTCATCTCCAGGTGAACCTGGCCCTCACCAGCCTCTCGACGTACCATGAGGATTTGCTGCAGGGCTTAGCAGTGGCAGACAGGACTTAATAAATGTTCATTTTTCACTTCCTGAGAATTTTTTTGTACACTTCAGTGATGTTAGTATATTCACATTGTGCAGCCATCACTGCCAATCTAATTCCAAAACACTTTAATCACTCCAGAAAGCAACTGTGTTCCCATTATCAGCCGCTTCCCATTTCCCCCTCCCCGACCCCAGCCCTTGGCAACCCCCAATCTGCTCTCTGTCTACGGATTTGCCTATTCTGGACATTTCATATAAAGGAAATCATACACTATGTGGCCTTTTGTGTCCAACATTTTTGAGACAGAGTTTCACTCTTGTTGCCCAGGCTGGAGTACAATGGTGGGTTCTTGGCTCACTGCAACCTCCACCCCTCAGGTTCAAACGATTCTCCTGCCTTAGCCTCCCAAGTAGCTGGGATTACAGGTGCCCACCACCACACCCAGCTAATTTTTTGTATTTTGAGTAGAGATGGTGTTTCACCATGTTGGCCAGGCTGGTCTCAAACTTCTGACCTCAGGTCATCTGCCCACCTCAGCCTTTCAAAGTGCTGGGATTACAGGCTTGAGCCACTATGCCCAGCCCCAACTTCTTTCACTTGACATAATGTTTTCAATATTCATTCATACTGTAGCCTGTAATAGTACGTCATTCCTTTTCACAGCCAAATCCTATTCCATGATATGAATTTACTACATTTTGTTTATCCATTCATCCACTGATGGACATTTAGGTTGTACTTTTCAGTTATGAATAGTGCTGTAGGAACATTCATGTGCTGTGTTAGTTTTTGTGGGGTCGGGTTTTCATTTCTCTTGGGCACATATGTAGAAGTGGAATTGCTAGATCATACGGTGACTGCTAGACTGTTTTCCAAGGTGGTTGCTCTATTTTATATTCACACTAGCAGCGCATGAACATTCCAGTTTTTCCACATCCTTGTCAACACTTGTTATTATCCATGTTTTTTATTATAGCCATCCTAGTGGATATGAAGTATTTTCCTAAGACTTTCATAGCTCAGGAGATAGGACGCAGATCGTTGAATCAAGATACATAACGCCTTCCTGGTGTTTCCAGAAAAAGATACTTCAATTAATCAGCTTGGTTTCTACAGTGATGAAATGGCCAGGGTGGCTAAGATGCCTCAGTGGATCTTCATGAAATGGAGAAGCCAAGAAACTGATCAATTCCATGTCTTTCCTCTTCGCTGAGAGAGGAAGGAAGCACTGCCATGTGGTGCAAGGACTCAGGGTCTTTCCGGCTTGAATGCTGAGTGCATCTCTGCCTCACATCCCCAGTCTTATACCAAGTAAAGTCACGCAAGCTTGAGCAGGCCATGGGGACTGATGAATGAACCATTACTTATGTATGCGGGTCCATCGGGGTCCTTGTTACCCAGCCACCCTGTGTTTTGATGTTATTTATTTTTTCATGTTTTTAAAGATGAAAGCAAAGTTTATCTTCTCTCACATTTCATCCCCAGGAGCCTTGAAATGTCTTGGCTGTCGACCCTGGGCAGGGACAACAGAAGACATCCACGTCTTAAGTGACATTCTGGAAGGCGTCCCTTCTTATGCCCTTTTTTTCTGCCGGGTTTCTGGGGTTTTTGAATGGGATCCTCTAAATTGACTTGAAGTCCTGTGTCAGAAGGTCACATGAGGTTCTGTAGAAGACAGTGGATGGGAGGGCATTCAATGCGCATTACTGGAGAATCATCTGCCAATTTATAAAGGGATATCCCAGCACACGAAGCTGTTCGGTGATAGAATTTAGCTTACCATGCACATACGGGGTGATTTTTCCATTTGCAGCTCAGAACACTGCCTCCTTTTGGATTGTACTCCTTTTAGGTTTCTTTTCCTCTTGTAATTCTTTTTTTTTTTTTTTTTTTGAGACAGAGTCTTGCTCTGTCTCCCAGGCTGGAGTGTAATGGCATGATCTAGGCTCACTGCAACCTCTGTCTCCTGGGTTCAAGCGATTCCACTGCGCCCGGCCTCTAATTCTGTTTTACGGGTGCTTAACTGATGCTTGCTGGTGTCTCTTAGTAGTTAAAATCCATAGCATGAGGTTCTTTGAAAGGGACAGAGGACACTTACAGATTTATAAATTAAGAATCAAGCAGCTGGGTGCAGGGGCTCACGCCTGTAATCCTAGCATTTTGGGAGGCTGAGGCAGGTGGATCACCTGAGGTTAGGAGTTTGAAACCAGCATGACCAACATGGTGAAACCCTGTCTCTACTAAAAATACAAAAATTAGCCGGGCATGGTGGCTAATGCCTGTAATCTCAGCTACTCGGGAGGCTGAGGCAGGAGAATTGCTTGAACCTGGGAGGCAGGGCCTGCAGTGAGCCGAGATTATGCCATTGTACCCCAGCCTGGGTGACTAGCGAAACTCTGTTGCCCAGGCTAGAGAGCAGTGGTACAATCATGACCCACTGCAGACTTGACCTTCTGGGCTCAAGCCATCCTCCCACTTCGGCTTCCAAGTAGCTGGGACTACAGGCTGCACCACCACACCTAGCTAATTTCTATATGTTTTTGGTAGAGCTGGGATTATGCCACATTGCCCAGGCTAGTCTTGAACTCCTGAGCTGAAGCGATCTGCCTCCCTGGGCCTCCCACAGTGCTGCAATTACAGGCATGAGCCACGGCACCCAGGTTAATAAGTTTTAAGTCAATGAAAATAATAATCAAAATTTTAAAAAATCATGAAATTGTATTGACAACATTTAACCTGTTATGGTTCCCTTTTTAAACAAGACTTCACTTTACAAATACTAACCAGGCAAGGTACACCTAATATGATTTTGAAGGGACAATTAACACTTTTAGAAGTGCACAGACCAGGCCAGGC